CTTCTGGAATTCAGGACTGCAACATCTCTGTAGCACACAAAAAAATGCAATTAAGACACCCTCTTAGTTTTAACTTTTCACATTGTGAAATTATGTATAAGGTCATTCTTTCCAATTTGGCTTTCCTGTTAAACTTGACAGGAATTTGTCCATGTATAATACATCAAAAAAATGGATATTATTGCTCATTCTGTAAGTGACTGGAACTGATGGTTCAGTACTGGTTAATTTAAAACTGTAGCAAAATTAATGTTGTACAAGGAGCTTTGATCATTATTAACTGATATTTCTTATACAAGTTGGTGTCACTGGAATATATTCAAGGTGTTGTTTCCATATTTCAGAAGCCATAGTCCATCACAGCACATAACTAGTCAAATTTTTCTTGCAAAGGCGTTCCAAGTGTAAAGCAATTGAAGTAATACAAAATTCATCTGAATGAAAACTGTTGCTCTAAGGGTAAACTAATACTCTCCCTGATTTTCCTGTATATTCAACAGAATGTTCTTTTGGTACTCTATTTATTATCCTCTTGTTTTCATAAAATAGTATTACTATTACCAATCACTTTCTACAATAATGCTCAATTAAAGGCTCCCATTTACAATTATACCCCTGGCACCCAAATTTACCTACACTCGTCCCTCCATAATATTTTTAACCCACCTTAGCATTGAAATCTCCACCACCATTACTCTCCACTAGATTTCAAAACTCCCCATGCATTTAGTCAACATTTTCCCAAATCTCTCTCTCTCCTCTACACTTCTCTCTTCTCCAGTGCATACACGCTTACTAAAAGCCCCACTTTTCACATCCCAATCTTTAGTTTTTAACGCTCCACATAATCCTTAATTAATACATTTATAGATCCCTCTTTTTCCTGCCATAGCTTTCCTCAACATTATTGCTACTCCTTCTTTATGCTCCTAACTCTATTTGAAAACCCCTGACCTAATCCCATTTATTCCTCTCCATTTGAAACTCCCCCCCCCTTTAGCTTAGTTTCACAAAAAGCCAGAAATCCAGCTTATTCTCATTCATAACAGCCACAATCATCTGTTTTCGCACAATATCCACTCACATTCAGACTCCCACTTTGACAATTTTCTTCTTATTCTTTTTTAGTAATCTTTACAGAAAAGGGATTACTAGCCCCATTGTTCCCGGCATTTTAGTTGACATTTTACAACATGCATGCTTACGGAGGAAAGATTCATATTCCACTTCCCCATGGATATAAAGAGGAAAAGTAATAGACCAAGAACTATTAAGATAAAAACAAGAAAACTCAGATTAGTAATGATAAATAAACGTGTACATGTATGTGTAAAGGTGGCCAAGTGTAGTGCAAGTTAGTATGAATATAATCTATGCAAGACACAAATTACCGTGGACCCCCCGCTAACGATCACCCTCCGAATGCCCGACCATTATTAACGTGCTTTGTACTGTATGTTTTGGGGGTCTGAAAATGGACTAATCTACTTCACAATATTCCCTTTTGGGAACCAATTCGTCGTTACTGGCACCTGAACATACTTCTGGAGTGAAAAAATATCGTTAACCGGGGGTCCACTGTATATGTGAAATAACTATTCCATATAGATAATATAAGTCGTAGGTTGGTTAGACGAACCGCCCAGGGAGGTACTACCAGTCCTGCCAAGTGATTGTTAAAACGAAAGTCCCTGTAATTGTTTTACATGATGCAAGTGGTGCTGGTGACCATTTTTCTGTCTCATGAACATGCAAGGTTTCAGGTATGTCTTGCTACTTCTACTTAGGTCACACTACACATACAAGCATATAGTATATATACACTCCTCTGGGTTTTTCTTATATTTTCTTCCTAGTTCTTGTTTATTTCCTCCATGGGGAAGTGGAACAGAATTCGTTCCTCCGTAACCATGTTGTTAGTTATGAGGCGACAAATGCCATGAGCAGGGGGCTAGTAACCCCTTCTCCTGTATAAATTACTGAGTGTAAAAGGAGAAACTTTCGTTTTTCCTTTTGGGCCACCCCGCCTCGGTGGGATATGGCCGGTGTGTTAAAAGAAGAAAGTAATCTTACGCCAGACACAAATTATATGTAAAATAACCCTTTCATTGGGATTGATAAGTAGTCTATGGATGGTAGATCAGCAACCGCTCAGGGATGTACTCTACCATCCTGCCAAGTGAGTGTAAAATGAACATGTAATTATTTTAACATGATGGTGGCTTTTTTTCTGTCTCATAAACAGGGAAGATTCAGGTACGTCTTGCTACTTCAACTTACACTAGGTCACAACTACACCATCTATTTAAACGCACCCCAGCCGTATCCCACTTTGAGGTTGGGTGGCCCAAAAGGAAAAACCTAAAGATTCTCCTTTTAAATTTAGTAAGATATACAGAAGGGGTTACTAACCCATTGTTCCTGGCATGTTAGGACACACATGGCTTACAGAGGAAGAATTCTTTCCACTTCCCCCTGTAGATAAGAGAAATAAACAAGAACAAGAATTAGAAAAAAACACAGAGGGTGTGTATACATATGCTTGTACATGTATGTGTAGTGTGACCTATAGTGTAAGCAGAATAGCAAACGTACCGTAATCTTGCATAATTTAAGAGACAGACAAAAACACCAGCAATCCAACCATCATGTAAAAAAACAATTAACATACTTTCAGTTTTTAACACTCACTTGCAGACGGAGTACCTCCCTGGGAGGTTGCTGTCTACCAAGCTACAAAGTATTATTAATATACAACACATATCTCGTCACAACTGACACACGCATAGGATAGATACACACCCCTCTGGGTTTTCCTACTGGTTCTTGTTCCTTTCCTCTTATCTCCATGGGAAGTGGAACGAATTCTTCCTCCGAAGCCATACGTGTTGTAAAGGGCAACTAAAAGCCAGGACTAGTTACCCTTTCTGTATACATTACTAAATTTATAAAGAGACAATTTCATATTTATTTTTGGCCACCATGCTTCATGGATACGGCTAAGTGGTTGAAGAGACAGCAATCAGCAAGCCACAGTAACAGTGCTGCATCCTCCTGAAAAGGGGTAGGGAATTTATTACAAATGTCCTTTAAACTGTTAATTTCCCATGACTTCTACAAGGCAGTTTATTGTGATTAATGCATTTCCATGTCTTGGTCACTCTACCTTGTGAGAGATAGCCAATGTGTTATAAAAAGCATTTATTTGTAGCTTATTACTTCATGAGGGGTCATTAAGGCCAACACACTACCTTTTCACAAACAAACAAGGATACATTTATTTACTAAAATAAACTGTACGATACACTGAGAGATAAAACTCTTGATGTATATGCATCACCACATCAGTTACCTTACCTCTGACAGCCAGAGATGATATATTTCAGGTGAAGAAATCTGACTACGATGGAGATTTAATTTGCATCAAGTGATCTCACACAGTTGGTGCCCATGTTCTATCCCACTCCACTATATGGACCACTTGTTCTCACTTAGTTAAGTTAAACACATTACTGTTGTCACTTTTCTATGGAATCTTCCTTAATCAAAGGCAGGCAACTTGTGGTACAGTACTGTATAATAACATTGCTAGCTATACCAATACATAAGTATGTGCTCCATTGATAGTAACATGAGACCAGTAAAAAATAGGAAAATAAGAAAAAAAAAACATTGCAACCAATGAAGTAGTTCAGTCCTGCATAATCTCATACTCATTGGTTAGTCACAAGAGTTGAATCTCATTTTATTTGTTTTGTAGAGATGTAGGGACATTGTTTAACTTGCTCTCAAGTTGGGTATTGAAATACAATGGAACGCCCCAGGTTAACGATATTTTTTCATTCCATAAGTATGTGTCAGGTTGCCTGTACTTACCAATTTGGGTTCCTCCATAAGGAATATTGTGAAGTAGATCATCCATTACAGACCCCCCAAACATACACGTAACATAATTGGCTCATTGAGGTGATCGTTAAATGGCGGGGGTCCACTGTATTTGCAAAAAATGCTAATATGAATGTTAACCTTCGTTATATGTAATCCTTTATCCACTCTACTTCATAACTGTAAATCCTTCTAGTGTACACCCATATGAAACCCTTTTGGGGTTTATAGCTTCTCTAATGACTATAATAATCCAGTGTTGCAGGCAATGTTTAAAACATATTCATAGGAAAAATTTCTGATACAGGGACTGATTTTATCTTCCAAGTCCAGATATAAACCGACATCAACAGAAGAAATAGACATTGCTATTCCCTGGCCTAAGCAACCGTAGATTTTAAACAAGTATACAGTGGCTGACAACACCACTTAAAACTTATGAGATCATGGAAAAGATATCCTGGCACCCAAATTATGAGACGTAGCTCCGCTTGATGTAGTAGAATTGTTTCCAGGAGACCATGAGCCACTAAACTAAGCTGCTATTTAATTCCTCATGCTTTGTGAAACCCACTGGATTATAGATATGAAGGTAAAATTCACATACAGGATAACAAATAGAAATGCAGTTAACTGCATAATAAGCAGAATTCATGTAAAGCCAGCATTATAATAATCATGAGTGCAAAACCCACAAGGAATAAAGTCAGGCAAATGTGCACTCTGGCATTGTTTATGTTCTCGACCTAAAAATTAATATTGTATTTGTTGTTATTTAAGTGTTTAAATAAGAAAAAATACACAGTAAAACTAAAATTTAAAAGATTTCAAAATTACCCAAGTCTGCCATTAAATGTGCTGTATCGCTATTTCCAAAAACTGTCTAGTATTGTAACAAAAGAATCTGATTTTTCCACCAAACGTGGTAAACAAAATTACTGTTAGCTTCATTTTGAATTCTCATTGCAGTATTTGGATTTAGTGAAGTCAGCATTAATTGACACTACTTCCTCCCCCTTTCCATATTGTTCAGTTATATCATGGTTTTACTGTATGTACAATAGATGTATTTAATTATATATACATTTACAATATAATTTTTTTTTTTTTACCAGATGGAGACTGGGGACAAGGCAATGTTTGATGTCTGCAGTTAGAAACCATTACAGAATGCTGGTCATTTATCAAGAGCAGCCAGCCTTAGCCTTTACCCAGACATTCAGTCCCAAAAACATTAAAGTCTATGACGTCTGTTGCTAACAACGTATAAAAAATTGGCTTTAAAATTTATACTTAGAAGCAGTTACTACTACGTAATATACTTCGAAAAGAAATTTACTATATGTAGGATTGAGAGGTCAGGTGCAATGGTTGGAGTATTGATAACATGTAGTTTGTGGAAGTCTTAAGTGAATACTTGTTTTATTTCTTTTATTGGCACATTTGTGTTAAAAATATAAGAGTTGATTTGAGGAATTTCTCTTTAAATTTGAGTCTTCTTCACTTATAAGTAGTTTGGCTAGACTTAATATATTAGAAAAAAAAAAATTATATTATATTCGTGGTATACACCAGAGAACAGAGGTTAGTTGAATGTTGCAGGGGTGGTGTGAACGTCATGAAGAGAATAAATGTAGAAATAGACATAATGGTGGTACAAAAGAGAATAACTTCAAGAAGAAAAGTTTAATACCCTAATAGAATGACTGTTATATGGAAATTGGTGGTGTGGAGCCAAGAGGATAGATATATTGGTACTAGTAGGTGGTGTGGATGATGGGCCACTTTAATATTAGCCTTGGAAGTAGATTAAAAGATATTAAAGGTTTCCTTTATTGCAATTCATAATGGAATCAAAGAAGATCTCAGCTTGTCCTTATTAGTATAATCCACAAGATGAATTTGCTGTGTATTTAACATATGCATATTCAAATTTTTGGGTTCTAACATATATATTAGTGTCTCATCGGACGTGGGTATGTAGAATACATGAATTGAGCTTGTCACACAAGATCTTGTATAATACCTTCTCTTAATTGTTTTTTTTTTTTTTTTTTTTTTTTTTTTTTTTTCAGACAAGTCGGCGCCGTCTCCCACGGAGGCAGGGTTGACCCAAATAAGAAAAAAACTTTCATCAGTCAAAAAGCACTCACCCATTATCATTGTTTTTTTTGCAGAAGTGCTAAGGAATAAAACAGGTTAGAAGCATACACAACATATCCCGCCAACTTGCCAATATCCCAAAAGCCCCTTTTTTCCCCCCTTTTTTCTTTTCGCCTACTTTCCTCTTGTTTTCCCTTCAGTTTACCACCTTTTAATTTCATGTAGCCTCATTTTTCCCTACCCCCCCGGGGAAGTTTCCAGCTGTTGGGTCTGTTCTTTCTCACTCCCTTGCTCAAAAGCTCAACTCCTGGGTGGCTTCCCCCCTTTCCTTTTTCTTGATCATTCCCCTCATTCTCAGGGCCACCCTGTGTACACAGATCTCAAGTCTTCCGGCGTCGGATTCGCGCAGTTTTTCCGGCAGCGTTACGAGGGCATTTACTTTCTTCGCTAGCTTTTTTACTGCTGAACTGTTTGCCATTTTTGCAGCACTTATTCGTACGCATCTATGCCTTGTCTCATTTTGTATAGTTCAGATCCCTTGTGCTCTACGGGCTATACAAAAATTTGATTCTCATCCCCTTTTTTCTCCGATCCAAACTTTGGTTTACGCCGTATTCTACCAAACATAAAGATATTTTTTTTGTTGGGCCCCTGGTCATGTCGAGACGGGCAATGAACAGGCAGACACTGCTGCGCGGTCACATTTTGACCTACCAATTTCCTATCGAGGTGTTCCATTTCTAGACTTTTTTTGCGAAATAGCTCCCCACCTTTCGCACCCGTTGGCAACAACTTTGGCAACTCGCTCGGAAACAACTTCATTTTTTAAAAACCGAGCATGGGTTTACGGCCGTCTTTTGTTCATGCCGGGGTTGGGGACCACCTCCCCGCCTTCGCATTGGCCACACTCGTTTACTCAGGGGTTCCTGGAAGGCACCCTGTTCCTCTCTGTGGCAGTGTCAAGTTCCGTACGATTAGCCACATTTGTTAGACTGCCCTCTCTATCAACGAGCACGCAGATTTACCTCCAACGTCGTCTCGTTCTCCTACTCTTCTTTACCTTCCCTTCTTTGGGGGGGGGGTGGACCCCCTTTAATCCGACTCTCTATTTACTTCTTGACAACGATATTTACTCCACAAACTCTGATATACTTTTCACATACCTCAGCCCTTTCCTGGTCATCATCATGCTCCTTACCCTTTCACCATCCACTGACCCCCCTGTTATTATCCGAACCTTTTGCTCATTTCCATCCCTTTTGCCACCTGATCCCGCTTCCCCTTGCCCTGCAGCGCTGTATAGTCTGTGGCTTAGCCTTCTTCTTGATTATAATTACCACTTTGATCCATATCGTCGAATGACCTAAACCCCTCAACATCCCCTCTTGCCTCTGACTAATATTTTATAACTCCAAACCTTTCCTAATTTCACGCATCTGAATTTTCTTGCATAATATTTTACACCACACATTGCCCTTAACAGGCTAACCCAGCCTCTCGCTGCTGCATTGAGCAGCCATATAAGAATGTTGGTACTCTAACTGATACATTCCCTTCATATTATTTATTAAATCAAAAAGAACCCGCTAAGCACAAGGGCTATCAGCGCATTTCCTTCATAGATAACGTTTTTTGACGTATACCTCAACGCACCACTCACCTTTTTTCCCTCATCAATTCTTAATATGATCATTATTTTTATTTATTCAACTATTTTAAGGCCTGGGTTATGTTGCTTTCCATGAGAGGGCTGATTTAGTATTAATTTCCTCTGCAGAACTGATATGCAAGGTATTTAGTTTTAGTTTAATAAAAATATTAATATTAATATTATATTTATTATCAAGACACTCTGGGCTACAGATTTGAATTGCCCTGAGGAAGAATACATCAAGTTATACCACTTTTCATGAATTTGTTGTGTCATGAAAAGTGAACAAGATTTCTTTATTATATTATTGACCAAATAATTTAACATAGAAGAAAATAGTATATTTTTATTCAGTTTCACATGCACTCTGAATAGAGGGTTCAATCTAATTAAATTGGCTGCTAAAGATTTCTAGGTTGAACCATCTATTTGTGATAAGAATTAAGTCAAGGTAATGTGGATGGGATATCTACTAAGCCCTATTGCAAGTGACTCCATATATAGGTTAATGATTATAATCATGGGGGAGCACTAAACCCATAGGATTATACAGCACATGTATTCAACCTTCAATCCCCCCACCTGGAGCACAGATCCAATTCCCTAGATCAAGGAACCTCCCTTGAAGGGTATAGGTTAATTAATATGGCACTGATGGGGTATTGTGTTGTTTTTTGTCTGTAGATAGTATTGCTGGAATTATATCTTAATTTTAACTATTTGCACAAGATCAATGAAATTTGGGCAAGGCATATGTATACATGTATTTTATCAACCTTATGGAATCTTGAATGAAATTCAACTACTTTACCATGAACATCCCCTACAGACACAAAGCTGGTATGGCAGTGGAATCTTCCCAGTAGAGCCTTACTTGCTAACCTGTACATGGAGTCATTTGAAATAACATGTCTTAGTATCCCACCTACCATAGCTTGATTCCGATACATTGACGACTTTTTTTCATCACACCTAACTGACTCGACCTAGGACTTGAGATAATTGTATAAAAGATTGAATCCTATGTTCAGTTTACCCTTGAAACTGAATAAAATTATTTACTTCTGAGATGTTCAAATAGAGAAAGCAGCACTCAAATTCCATGTATATAGGAACCTATCAATGAAGATCATCTCCCCATCATGATAAATGTGCAAAAAGTGGTTAACTCTACAAAAAAAAAAAAAAAAAAATTTAACCTACACTTTCTTATCAGTGAATGCATTATTATTACTAGCCCTTCTTTACAAAACTAAACTACCTCATCTACTTCAATTCCATCTGTAAACAGCTTGACACATTCACAGCAAATAGTCCTACCTATAGGGAGCATATCAAATTGCAGAGGAAGGGGGTTCTTGAACCTATGGTGAGCAACATAACCTAAGCCTTGCAAATGAACATTGCCAAAGTAGGTTTTGTCAAAAACCATTCATGTACTCACAATCTCCACAATACTGAGGGGCTCTTGATTTAGGGAATTGGATCTGTGCTCCAGTTCCCTGAATTAACCCTGAATGCCTTCCACATTCCCCCCCCCCCCCCCCCAGGCGCTGTATAATCCTCCGGGTTTAGCGCTTCCCCCTTGATTATATTATTATAATCAAAAAGAAACGCTAAGCCACAAGGACTATACAGCCTTGATTATAATAATAACCCACAATACTGAAGCAGGTGCATAACAGATCTAGTGTAACAAACTCTACATAGGTAAAATATTGTATACTCTACATACCTAAGAATCCACAAGTACAAATACTCAGGGAAAGCCCACAACTTGAAAATATGTTTTATGCACAGAAAATACTCTTCTCATGAATTGGGCATGTGCTGAAATTATTAGTAATGAAGACAAAACCAGGGGGTGGTCACATTTGTACAGATGGACACCACAGAACAAAATTGGAGAGCCTTCACTTCTGCCAATTCTCTTGCATAGTAATACAACTTGTGTAGCTTTCCACATGCCCTGCTACTAAATATAATAATAATGTTACACTGCTTGATTTGATAAAAGTATAAATAAATATCTACAATCTTTCTTTACCATATTTATTGACATGGTTTGATTACACACAAATGGTAGTGACAACAAGTTTGTATGTTACATGTGCAACAGGTTTTTTCAAGTCAACATAATATACCTGAGAAAAGAAAATTGTATAGGCAAGAGCAAGAGGTCAGGTGCAGTGGTGGTAGTTCAGCTTGGTTGGTCTTGATGGACTGTTCAACAACTGCATGGCTAGGGTTTGGCCAACTGAATACTTCCTTGGTTTTGCATATCTGTGTTGAAAACTGTAAGAGCTGATTTCTGAGCATTTTCTTTTAAATCTGTCACCTTGACTTACAACTAGTTTGGCTACAGACCATTTTATTAAATGGTGGTGACTGTTTGTGCTGAACACAAGAATTATTCAAGTTGTCAGTCCTGGAGGTGTATTTATGTAAATCTGGCAGTTTCTACCACATATACATCACAACTTCCCTATGTGATTTCACATTTACCAGTACACTGTTTGTTCTTGTATTTTGCAGGCTCTCATATCATGAATGTGATGGCAAACTTAGTTGGCTTGAACTATTATTTTTTAGATTTTCTACATTAGTGGTACGGATGAATATGTACGTTTCTTTCAACATATCGGTCATTTCTTTTGATTTTTTAACATACTAGGAATTTCTGTAGCTTGTGTGTTATGGAGGATAATACAGTTCCATGAATGTTTAATATTATTACATTTGTCTTCTGGGAATTCAGGACTGCAAACTCTGTAGGCACACAAAAAAAATGCAATTAAGACACCCTCTTAGTTTTAACTTTTCACATTGTGAAATTATGTATAAGGTCATTCTTTCCAATTGGCTTCCTGTAAACTTGGACCAGGAAATTGTACATGTATGAAGACATCAAAAAAATGGGATATTATTGTCTCATTTTCTTAAGTGAACTGGACTGATGGTTCAGTACTGGTTATTTTAAAACTGTAGCAAATTAAGTTGAACATGAGCTTTGATCATTATGTAACTGATATTTCTTATACAAGTTGTGTCACTGGGAATAATATTCAAGTGTTGTTTCCATATGTTCCAGGAAGCCATTGTCCAGCACAGCACATAACTAAGTCAAATTTTTCTTGCAAATGCTTCCAAGTGTAAAGCAATTGAAGTAATACAAAATTCATCTGAATGAAAACTTGTTGCTCTAAGGGTAATTCTAAGTACTCACTGATTTTCCTGTATATCAACAGAATGTTCTTTTGGTACTCTGGATAATAAAAATAAAAGACATCAAAGCTGACTGGTTTTATGAGGAATGATAGTAGAGTACCAGAATATTTAAGATGTGACCCACTAATAGTACCTAGAAGTTTTGTTAGGTCTTTATCAAGTGTGTGGTAGTAATGAGATGTTGGGTTCATGTCTTGAGTGATTATATATGCTGGTAGGTTCAGGTTGGTTTGGATCAGATAAGTTAGTTTTCTTGTTTCACTCATTTAAGAAAGTTTTTGAGACAAGTCAACATTCCTTGATATACTATGTACCACAACCAACATTATTTATGCAGTACTATTATTCAATGTATCCTTACCTCACTTATGGTACATGTGCATGGAGATACATAACATCTCATCACCTAAAATCAATAACTCAAAAATTTGCCATCCACAAATACTGTGCATATTACCTAAACAGGACACCCAATAAAAAATAATAAAGTGAGCTAAAGCAATTCCTGGACAGCTGCAGCAGATCACACAGACAACGCTAGAAATATATACCTTTATGCAAATCAAAGGACACGAAATTTGTAACATACCTGAAGGACCAGAAAACTATCTCAATACTTTCAAAAACATCTCTTGAATATGATGCAACACTTCATGCAATAAACAAGCTATTACTGGTGATAACTATCTTAAACCACTAATTTACTCAACTGCAACCTCCCAACATTAATATCAACCACCTAATTATGTACAGAAAATATTCATGTTGGATTATCTAAATGTGTGTACTTGTGTTACGTAGTTTGTAACTTTCAATCTACCTACAATGCTTTGCATAACATTGTAATCAGAGCAAACTGATAACCCATTTATCATATAATCCATGTTTTCCAGAATTAACAGTATAATTATCATTATTTTATGTCTTTTCATTATCAGATACCTACACTTTCATTACTTCTGTATAGCAAGTCCTCACTTAACGTGGTCGATAGGTTCTTGGAAACTGCGACTAAGTGAAACAATGTAAAGCTAAACCACACCTTGCTGTCCACTGTCAAACCTCTTTAAAACTTCTACTTTTGTTTCTAGTGTCACTTTTTCTCTGTTATTGTGGCCAGACATCAGGGATACACAGTGCACCTTTAGCACTCATTGCAAGCAAAGCAAAAATTGTAGAGTTCAAATACCTAGAGTGGGTTTCGGGGGTAAATGCCCCCGCAGCCCGGTCTGTGATCAGGGCCTGATCAACCAAACTGTTACTGTTGGCTGCACGAAACCTGACGTACGAAGCACAACCCAGCTGGTCAGGTACTGACTTCAGGTGACTGTCCAGTGCCTTCTTGAAGACAGCCAGGGGTATATTGGTAATCCCTCTTATGTATGCTGGAAGGCATTTGAACAGTTTTGGGCCCTTGACACTTATTGTATTGTCTCTATCATGCTAGTGGCACCCCTACTTTTCATTGGGGAGATGTTGCATCATCTGCCAAGTCTTTTGGTTTCACAGGGAGTGATTTTCATGTACAAGTTCAGTACTAATCCCTCTAGGATTTTCCAAGTGTATATAATCATGCATCTCTCCTGCCTGCATTCTAGGGAGTACAGGTTGAGGAACCTCAAGAGTTCCCAGTAATTGAGGTGTTTTATCGCCGTTATGTGTGCCGTGAAGTTCTCTACATTTTCTAGGTCAGCAATTTCACCTGCCTTGAAAGGTGCTGTTAGTGTGCAGCAATATTCCAGCCTAGATAGAACAAGTGACCTGAAGAGTGTCATCATGGGCTTGGCATCCCTAGTTTTGATGGCTCTCATTATCCACCCTGTCATTTTTCTAGCAGATGCAATTGATAAACTTATGGTCTTTGAAGGCAAGATCCTCTGACATGATCACTTCCAGGTCTTTTACATTAGCTTTTCACACTTGTGTGGTTGGAATTTGCTTTATAATCCAACATAATTTTAATTTCCTCGTGTTTTCCATATCGGAGTAATTGAAATTTCTCATCATTGAACTTCATATTGTTTTCTGCGACCCATTTAAAGATTTCGTTGATGTCTGCCTCGAGTCTTGCGGTGTCTTCAATAGAGGATGCTGTCATGCAAATTCAGGTGTCATCTGCAAATGAAGATACGGTGCTGTGGCTTACATCCCTGTCTGTCAGATACGAGGATGAGGAACAGGATGGGAGTGCGTACTGTGCCTTGTGGAACACAGCTTTCACTATAGCCGCCTCAGACTGTCATCTAGGGGGTAAACAACCAGAAGGGGTAATAATGGGAATAAGCAGAATAGGGGAGTAAAGGCAGGAGTGGAAGGGAAGGAGGTAGGTAGGTAATGCGACAGGTCAGTGGTGACCACCATGACCCTCTCATTAACTCTACACTACTCACTACTGTATACCTTGCTCACTCTTCACTCACTCCACCTTATATAAATAAAGTATAAGAATAAATAATTGGGACAGTGAAAATACTATTCCATTCAAACACAGCTTATTATTAAGTCCTTGTACAATAATATATTTGGGAACAGGAGAACACTGTTGGGTTAGATAAATGGGGATTGTATATAAGCAGTGAGACAAGGATTACAATTTAACTGATGAAACAGAATATTTACTTACAATAAGTTCAGAGAGCTGTTCACCTCAGGAACTCTCACACACTAGCCACAGGTCCCAAGACTTACACAGCATAAGCATAGCTCCAAGCCAGTACTCTGCCCAGCATCTCTAACAGTCTCTTCCCCAGAGACTCCAGCAGCCCCCTTGCACAGCTCTGCAAACAGGCCAGTGCTCTGCCAGTCTCTCCCTCTCTAGCTGTACTGTAGAAGGTTCGCCGGTCTTTTCCCAGCCCAGATCATCTCCAGGTGGTGACCTGGTGATGCTGCCATGCTGTGACATGGCCATGCTGAGATGCTGTAGCCATGCTGCAATACTGTGGATGTGCTGTGCTGCAATGCTGCCTAGCTTGGGGGAGATGATGGCAGTGATGCTGAAGTGGCATATGAGGGATTCTGGCTGGTGTGTCTGCTATGAAGCAGCTGCCATCCTCGGAGATGTGGAAGGATGAGACCCGCAGACATGGACTCCAGCTGCTGGGACCAGCGTGCTATCAAAGGCAGTATGGAGGTGTATGCTGTCATGCTGGCCAACCTGTATGACCAGTATGGGGGGATGTCCTGGCATCCATGAGACACAATTAAGTGTGTTATGAGTAAATGGGTCCCTGAGGGAAGGAGCTGACCACTCGCCTTGCCCTCAGGTCGGCTCCATACTCGAGAGACCTCCCCACCAACAATAAGAAGTATAGTAAAGCAGTTGCTAACAAAAAGTAAAAAAGCGATCGCAAGTCAAAGGTAGGGCTGTCTGCAAGAAGAGAAGATAAGGTAAGAGTGGTAGGGCAGCGGCGTTGTTGGAGGTAAATCCTGTGAGCTCGCTGGTAAACCAGGCAATCTATAAGAAAGCGAAGAACCGAAAGAGGGCCCGACAAACCTCACAAGAGAGGAATTGGGTATCGTTCCACGAGATACTCATGGGTAAGGCGAGTATGGCCAATGTGGAGAAGGGAGAGTGCAGTCTCCTGAGTACAGCATCAGTGGTAAGAAGATGGCCACAATCCTAAAAGCAGTTTAATAGAGTGCAATTTGTTATGGTGCATGCCCAACCACCGTTGTTACCAACGGCTGCGAAGGCAGGCAGAGATGACTGAAAAAATAATCTCTGGAAGATCATGCACCACTGACTGCGCAGCAGCATCCGCTTGTTCATTTCCCTGCACATCGTGTCCAGGGACCCAACAGAAAACGTCTGTTTTTGCTAGCCGCACGGCGCAACCACAGCTGAATACGAAGGACTAATGGATGAGGGGAATCAAATTGTTTAATGGCTTGTAAAGCACTCAGGGAATCTGAAATAATCACAAATGTTGAAGGAGACATACATATAATACGGAGAAGTGCTATGAGGATGGCATACAACTCGGCAGTAAAAATACTAGCCAAGTCTAACAAATGACCTCAAACAATTGTCAGGGAACACCGCCGCAAATCCATCACCGTCAGATTTAGAACAATCTGTATAAACAGCAACGGCATGAGCATGTGATTAAATGATCAAGAAAAAGAGAGCAAGAAACAGTTGTAGGTAGGAGAGCTTTGGCGCACGGCAGTAGAGGAGAACAGACAAACTGTCGGAACCTCCTAAGGGGTAAGGGAAAAGGCAGACACTAAATGAACATACAAGGGATGTAACTGGAGAGAAGACCAGAGTGAGTGAAGATGAAGAGAAAATGGTTGGAGTAAGCAGGGACGTCGAACAAATAATGGGCTTTTACTAACGTCTGAGACCAACTTATATGTAGACGGAACACGAAGGTCATGAACGCGGACAAAGTAATGAAGGCAATGAGCATCACAGCGATCAGCTAAGGAAGGAACATTCGCCTCAGCATACAGGCTTTCAACAGATGAACAAAAGGCACCAAGGCATAAATGTAGACCCTGATGGTGAAGGGGATTGAACTTAGAAAGAGTGGCAGGAG